TGTGTGTGTTTGTATATAAGTGTGTGTGCGTGTGTGTGTGTATGTCTGTATGCATGTGTGTATGTCTGTATGTACGTGTGTGTGTATGTCTGTATGTACGTGTGTGTGTCTGTATGTACGTATGTGTGTGTGTGTCTGTCTGCATATACGTGTGTGTGTGTGTGTGTGTGCGCGCGTGTGTGTCTGTATATACGGGTGATCGCGTGTGTGTATATATATACGTGTGTATGTGTGTGTGTCTGTATATACGGGTGTGTGTGTGTATACGTGTGTGTGTATATACATGTGTGTGTGTGTCTGTATATACAGGTGTGTGTGTGCGTGTGTCTGTATATACGGGTGATCGCGTGTGTGTGTGTATATATACGTGTGTGTGTGTCTGTATATACGTGTGTGTGTGTGTGTCTGTATATGCAGGTGTGTGTGTATGTCTGTATATATGGGTGTGTGTGTGTGTCTGTATGTACAGGTGTGTGTGCGTCTGTATATACATGTGTGTGTGTGTGCCTGTATATACGGGTGTGTGTGCAATTGTATATACAGATGTGTGTGTGTCTGTATATATGGGTGTGTGTGTGCCTGTATATATGGGTATGTGTGTGCCTGTATATACGGATATGTGTGTGTGTCTGTATATATGGGTGTGTGTGTCTATATGAGTGTGTGTGTGTATATACGTGTGTGTGTGTGTGTGTGTGTGTGTATACGTGTGTGTGTGTCTGTGTGTATATACGTGTGTGTGTGCGTGTATATATGTGTGTGTGTATACATGTGTGAGTGTCTGTATATACATGTGTGTGTGAGTGTCTGTGTGTATATACGTGTGTGTGTACGTATGTGTGTGTGTGTATATGTATGTATGTATATGTGTGTGTATACGTGTGTGTGTGTATTTACGTGTGTGTGTATACGTGTGTGTGTATACGTGTGTGCGTGTTCATACGTGTGTGTGTATACGTATGTACGTGTGTGTATGTCTGTATGTATGTGTGTGTGTGTCTGTATGTACGTGTGTGTGTCTGTATGTGTGTGTGTGTGTCTGTATGTACGTGTGTGTGTCTGTATGTACGTGTGTGTGTCTGTATATACATGTGTGTATTTGTATATACGTGTGTGTGTATGTCTGTATGTACGTGTGTATGTCTGTATGTACGTGTGTGTGTGTATATACTCGTGTGTTTGTGTGTGTGTATACGTGTGTGTGTATACATGTGTTTGTGTATCCGTGTGTGTGTATGTGTCTGTATGTACGTGTGTATGTCTGTATTTACGTGTGTGTGTGTGTGTCTGTATATACGGATGTGTGTGTGTGCCTGTATATACGTGTGTGTGTGCTTGTATATACGTGTGTGTGTGTCTGTATATATGGATGTGTGTGTGTCTGTATATATGGGTGTGTATGTGCCTGTATATATGGTTGTGTATGTGCCTGTTTATACGGATGTGTGTGTGTGTCTGTATATATGGGTGTGTGTGTATATATAAGTGCGTGTGTGTGTACATACGTGTATGTGTGTATATATATATATATACACATGTGTGTGTATGTCTGTATGTACGTGTGTATGTCTGTATGTACGTGTGTGTGTGTGTCTGTATGTACGTGTGTGTATGTCTGTATGTACGTGTTGTGTATGTATGTGTGTGTGTATATACTTGTGTGTGTGTGTGTATATACTTGTGTGTGTGTGTATATACGTGTGTGTGTACACGTGTGTGTGTACATACGTGTGTGTGTGTGTTTATATACCTTTGTGTGTATATACGTGTGTGTATACGTGAGTGTGTGTATGTGTATATACGTTTGTGTATATGTGTGTGTATATATATATACGTGTGTGTGTGTATACGTGTGTGTGTCTACGCGTGTGTGTCTGTATATATGTGTGTGTGTGCGTGTGTGTGCGGTGTGTCTGAATATTGTGTGTGTCTGTCTGTATATACGCGTGTGTGTCTGTCTGTCTGTATATATGTCTGTGTGTCTGTATATACGTCTGTGTGTGTTTGTATATACGTGTGTGTATGTCTGTATGTACGTGTGTGTGTGTCTGTATGTACGTGTGTGTGTCTGTGTCTATCTGTATGTACGTGTCTGTGTGTCTGTATGTACGTGTCTGTGTGTTTGTCTGTATATACGTATACGTGTTTCTGTCGTTTTGTGTGTGTGTCTGTATATCTGTGTGTGTGTTTGCCTGTCTGTATATATGTATGAGTGTGTCTGTTTATACCTGTGTGTGTGTCTGTATATGCATGTGTTTGTGTGTGTGTCTGTATGTACGTGTGTTTGTGTGTGTGTCTGTATATACGTGTGTGTGTCTATGTGTGTGTGTCTGTATATATATGTGTGCGGTGTGCGTCGCTGTCTATATGTATGTGTGTTCTGTGTGTGTGTGTGTGTGTGTGTATGTGTGTGTGTGCATGCGCGGTGTATGTGTCTCTCTGTGTGATGCCCAGCTTAACCTCGGTACTAATCACTGTGTGTTCGTAATCTCATTGACAGAGCCTTTGTGTTGCCTGGCCAGCTGCCCCTGAGTCGCAGACACGAGCAGGCGAAGCTGCTACTCGAGAGAGCTCGAATGAAGGCCCGAGCCAGTCCTCTGAAAGCTGATCACAGCATTCTACCCATCGAGAGGAGCCCTCAGTAAGTGGTCAAACTCAATAATAGGTTCTCTGTGTGTGAACTATATCTCCATTGTATTCACTGGGGAAAAGCAGGAGGCCATCACAAAGAAACATCAAATTCTCTGGAGCATTGGAGGTTGAGGAGTGACCTTATAGAAGTTTATACAATCATGAGGGATATAGATAAAGTGAATGGCAGGTGTCTCTTCCTTAGGCCGGGGGAATTTCACGACCAGGGGCACCTTTAATGCGGTAAACATCCCAGTGCCACCTTCAGGAGCTCTATCAAACAAAACCTGGCAACAGGTCATATACTGGCAAGGCGACTTGGTCAAAGGACAAGGGGATTGGGGTACGTTGGTCTGTGCCCCCCACCCCCAGTGAGGGTCAGCACCTTCAGGAGAGGAGGGCATGGGGGTCTCTTTCCCCCAGTGAAGGTCAGCACCTTCAGGAGAGGAGGGCATGGGGGTCTCTTGCCCCCAGTGAGGGTCAGCACCTTCAGGAGAGGAGAGCAGTGGGGTCT